AAACAAGTTCAAATGTAGACTGAAAGAAAATATAAGTGGTTTGGATGAATTATGTATGAAGGAGTTAGACTTGGAGAATGTATGGCAAAATGTAAAGAGAGGTTTAGTGGATGCAGCTACCGAAGTATGTGGTGTTAGTAAGAGAAAGAATGAAAGGAAAAATAATACGTTATGGTGGGATGATGAGATACGTATGGAAGTTGAAGCAAAGAAGAGAGCATGGCTAGATTTACTAGCAACAAAAGCTGGTAATTCTAGCGGTACGAATGATGCTATTGAAAGAAAAAAGGTAGTCTTTAAACATCTTAATAAGAGAGTAAAAGAAGTAGTTGAAAGAAAAAAGCAAGAAAGAACGGATAAGAATGATAGAAGAATATCGGATAACTTCCAGGCAAATATTAAAATGTTCTGGAAACTTGTAAGAACTGCCAGGGGACATTCAAAACAGCCTATGATGAATGTTATAAGAGACAAGAATGGCTATATTCTGAATGATGAAATTTTGAGTTTAAAGAGATGGAAGGAATATTTATATCAAAGCATGTTTATGAGTGAGGTGACAACGTGTGTACTAAGTGAAGTAGAAACTCCGAAAGAAGAGGAAAGAGGTAGCGAGATAAGTATCGATGAAATAATGAAAGCAATGAAAAGCATGAAAGCAGGTAAGGCTGCCGGATATGATAGAGTTTCACTCGAAATGCTAAGGGCTGGAGAGGAAGTCGTGGAAGGCCTGCTGCACACCTTGTTTAATTTATGCTGGGAACTGAAGCGGGTACCGGTAGACTGGTGCAAAGCCGTGATAGTCCCAGTATATAAAGGAAAAGGGTCGCAGCAGGACTGTAAAAACTACCGTGGCATCAGCCTTCTTAGCATTGTGGGAAAACTGTATGCTAAGGTACTGATTGAAAGGGTCATGAAAGAAACTGATGAAAAAATTTGGGATGTGCAAGCGGGATTCAGAAAGGGAATGGGATGTACATATTAAGTCTTTTTCATGCGCATGATCGCGGAAAAGTTTTTGGCCAAAAACCAAAAGGTTTTTTGTGCGTTCATGGACTTGGAAAAGGCCTATGACAGAGTGGATAGGGATGTGCTATGGTAAACACTGAACTCATTTGGGTTGAGCGCTGGCTTGATACAGGCATTGGAGTCTCTTTATAGGGACTCTAGTGCTTGTGTTAGGATCAACGGGGTCTACTTGGACTGGTTTGAGATCCATAAAGGTGTCAGACAGGGCTGTGTGGCTTCCCCGTGGCTGTTCACCTATTTATGGACAGTTGTTTGCAAAATTTGAAAGTTGAAGAATGCGGATTAAGAATGGGTGAGTTAACCGTCAAATGCCTTTTGTAGGCCGATGATCAAATTATCCTTGCGTCGTCGGCGGCCGAGTTGCAAATGATGGTTACATTAAAATGAACAGATCATTAAAAGAAAGGGGTATGAAAGTGAACGCAAGTAAGACGAAGGTTATGGTTTTTGAAAGAGAAGAAAGTAAAACGATTTGTGAAATAAGAATAGAAGGGGAGTTGATCGAGCAAGTAGATGAGTTTGTATATTTGGGCTACGTATTTAGCAGGGATGGGAGATTATGATAAGGATATAGAACAACGAGTGAATGCGGGAAATAGAGTAAATGGGGCCCTGCACTCTATTGTGAAGAGTCAAAATGTGTCGAAAAAGGCACGTATGGCAATTCACAATGCTGTGTTGGTCCCTACTTTAACGTATGGTAGTGAAAGTTGGGTGTGGCAGAAGAAGCACGAGAGTAGAATCAACGCAGTAGAAATGCGGTCCTTAAGGAGTATGTTAGGGCTGAATCTGAACGACAGGGTAAGAAATTGTGTAATAAGATAAGAGTGTGGTTTGCAATATGATGTTGTGACCAGGATTAAGAAAGGAATGCTTCGGTGGTTTGGTCTTAATAATAAATAAAATTTATGTAGCAGAAGTGAATGGCAGAGTCTGAAAGGGACGTCCTAGGTGAAAATTTATCGACCAAATTGGCGATTTTTTGAAAACGGGCTTAATTAGGAGTACCCTTAACCGACGAGCATGTATGCGTAGGTGTATGGATGTGAAGGAGGCGAGAGAGGTATGTCAGGATCGCGCCAAATGGAAGTCTGTAGTCTCTGCCTACCCCTCTGGGTGACAGGCGTGAGTGTTTATGTATGTATATGTAATTTTTAATTACTACTGCAAGCCCACTACTGAGCATAGGCCTCCCCGATAGATTGCCTCAAAGAATGATTTCGCTATAGTTTCCACGCGCGGCAGGGTAGACAACCGAAGTTTTTTTTATTAAGTTATTATCAGAAAAATACTACTGCACAGTTTCACTGTGTCGTCTTTTACGATACTAACGAAACGACATGGGTTTATATTCTGTTACGATGCGACGTCACTACACGGCAAATAAAAATTAACACTGAAATAAAATGTGGATTTGTTATAAAGATGTTTAGTAGGAAAAATCATTGAAATTTCGGTTTTTAAAATAACGTAAACCATTTGCTACAAATCAAATACTTCCCCGTCGTTCGAAGTCTTAATTTATTTAACAATTTTCACGACAATAAGAAATACATGAACTGTGATAAAAGGAATCTTGAAGTTATTATATATATGAAATTTTAACAGTGGTAGAGCCACGCGGCAGCTTTGCTGTCGCACGTATGGGCCGGCTCAAACCGGGGTGGTACCACGACCTCACAGAATACCGGCGTGAAGTGGAAGCTCTGCTTCCGCGTTTCGTCTGGTGAGTGCAGGTGGCCGGAGGCCCAAATCCCCCCCCCATCAACATGGTAGCGGAATTCAATGATAGACTACCCCAGGAGGGTACCAGCACCCCTGGAGAATCCCTCGCTGAGCATCCACGACCATGTTTTTCCACTTCTGAGCGTGGGTGCTCAGGCTGCCCCGCGTATTCTGGGGGGGGGCAAAATTCCGCTCAAGACTAAAACTGCTCGGGGCAAACGGAGCAACAAGACCAAGGCGACCCCTGCCACGCTGTCCGTGAATTTCTGCAATATCAGGGGACTTCACTCCAACCTAAACGCCGTCCACTACCATCTCGAGACGGCGAGGCCGGCTCTGCTCTTTCTGACCGAGACGCAGGTGTCCTCTCCGGCTGATGTCTCGTATCTCTCCTACCCGGGGTACAAACTGGAACACTCCTTTGTGCCTCGGGCTGGAGTTTGCGTTTACGTCAGAGAGGACATCTGTTCTCGACGCCTCGGCAGATTTGAAGGTTCGGACCTGTCCATCCTTTGGCTACGCGTAGACAGCGACGACCATCCGCGCATCTACGGGTGCCTCTATAGGTCCCACAGCGGTAATGCCGAAACAGACCGACTCTTCGACCACGTCCAAATGGCTGCAGATTCGTTGCTACAGCAGATCCCCTCCGCAGAGATCGTGATCCTCGGCGACTTTAACGCCCATCACGCCGAATGGCTCGGTTCACGTTTAACCGATCATGCGGGGAGATCTGTTCATGATTTTGCCTTGTCATATGGTCTGACACAACTGGTTACTTCGCCTACGCGGACTCCAGATGTGGAGGATCATGCACCTTCCCTGTTGGACCTTCTGCTGACCTCTCACCCGGACGGATATCAGATTTCCGTCGACGCCCCTTTAGGCTCCTCGGACCATTGTCTTGTCCGGAGTGTGGTGCCACTCACGCTGAAATCGCGGTTGCATTCTGCAGGCTGCCGCCGTGTTTGGCACTATAGGTCAGCCGATTGGGATGGGATGCGGTCTTTCTTTGCATCCTACCCTTGGGGGCGGGTTTGCTTCTCGCCGGACGATCCCAACGTTGTTGCGGATTCTGTCGCTGATGTGGTACTTCAGGGTATGGAACTTTTTATTCCTTCCTCTGTGGTGCCCATTGGAGGCAAATCTCAGCCATGGTTTGGTCGCTCCTGTAAAATAGCATCATGCTATAAGCAGGAGTGCTACCAGGCCTGGGCTGACGCATCAGCGTCCAGGGATGTAAACACCAGCGCTCTAAAAAAGAAGTATAATTCCGCCTCTAGGTCCTTCAAAAGAGTCATTGCCAAGGCAAAGTCAGAGCACATAGGCAGAATTGGCGAGAAACTAGTTCGTCTTCCTTCTGGAACCCGTACATTCTGGTCTCTCGCCAAGGCTGTCCAGGGGAATTTCTGTCAGCCATCTCTTCCATCTCTGCACAGGGAGGACGACTCACTGGCCCACACCGCAAAGGAGAAAGCCGATCTTCTAGGCTCTTTCTTTGCGTCTAACTCGACTCTCGATGACGGGGGAGTACGCCGCCGACCATCCCGCGGTGTGAGTGCTCCATGCCGGAAGTGCAGTTCACTCAGGTCTCGGTTCGCAAAGCACTCCTCTCCCTGGACATCCACAAGTCGAGTGGGCCTGACGGAATCCCCCCAATTGTGCTGAGGACGTGTGCTCCAGAGTTGGCACCGGTTTTAACGCGTTTTTTCCGGTACTCCTACTCCCTAGGCGTAGTCCCAAAATCATGGAAGACGGCTTTCGTCCACCCGATCCCTAAAAAAGGCGACCGCTCAGACCCGTCCAACTACCGGCCTATCGCCATCACCTCCTTGTTCTCCAAAACAATGGAGTCCATTGTAAACTGCCAGCTCATGAGGTACCTTGAGGATCACCAGCTGATTAGTGACCGCCAATACGGTTTTCGCCGTGGTAGGTCAGCTGGTGATCTTCTGGTCTACCTAACTCACAGATGGGCGGAGGCAGTAGAGTCCAAGGGGGAGGCATTGGCCGTTAGTTTGGACATTGCGAAGGCCTTCGATCGGGTTTGGCACAAAGCGCTTCTTTCGAAGCTCCCTTCCTATGGGCTTCCCGAGAAATTGTGCGATTGGATCACCAGTTTTCTTGCAGATCGGAGCATCAAGGTCGTTGTAGACGGTGCAAGCTCCGATTGCAAGCCTATTAATGCTGGTGTTCCACAGGGCTGCGTGCTATCGCCAACGCTGTTTCTTCTGCATATCAATGATATGTTGCAGACCCGTAACATTCATTGCTATGCAGATGACAGCACTGGTGATGCTCTTTACACCGGCCGAGCCAATATTTCTCGGGAAAACGTCTCCGAGTGCCGGGACAAACTTGTGTCTGAAGTCGAGTCTCTGCTGGACAGAGTCTCGGATTGGGGGCGACTAAATCTAGTCCAGTTTAACCCCCAGAAGACACAAGTTTGCGCGTTAACCGCTAAAAAGTACCCCTTTGTCGTATCGCCTCAGTTTCAAGGCACTCCCCTTGTTGCCTCAGCCAGTATCGGAATCCTCGGCGTCGACATATCGAGTGACGTGCAGTTTCGTGGTCACTTGGAAGGGAAGGCCAAATTGGCCTCTAAAAAGCTTGGCGTGCTCAGCAGAGCGGGACAGTATTTCATGCCGGCACACCGCCTGCAACTATACAAGGCGCAGGTTCGGCCGCACATGGAATACTGTTCCCATCTCTGGGCTGGGGCTCCCCAGTACCAGCTCCTTCCACTTGACCACATCCAGCGCAGAGCGGCTCGAATCGTCGACGACCGAGTGCTTTCCGATCGGCTCGATTCTCTGGCACTGCGAAGAGATGTTGCATCCCTTTGCATTTTCTTTCGCATATACCATGGAGAGTGCTCTGAGGAATTGTTCGGATTAATCCCAGCCGCCAAATTTCGTGAACGCACTACGCGGCAAACGTCCCGATACCATCCACACCATCTGGATGCTTGGCGGTCCACCACTGTACGTTTCAAAAGGAGTTTTCTTCCGCGTACAACCTCTCTGTGGAATAATTTACCACCAGCGATTTTTCCGGACCGATACGACCTGGGGACCTTCAAGAAAAGAGCTTACTCCTTTCTAAAGGGCCGGCAACGCGTCTGCAATTCCCCTGGTGTTGCAGTTGATCATGGGCGGCGGTAGTCACTTAACATCAGGTGAGCCACATGCTCGTTTGCCCCCTCTTCTATAAAAAAAAAAAAAAAAAAAAAAAAGTTATAAGAACGCTTTTGGTCTGTCCTACTTTTACCCTAATCCTAAATTATTAAATTCACAGGGCATACGTCTATCTAAGCACAGGTCTTCTCTTATTTCTGAGAGAGTTATGGAGAAGTTATTTCACCACAATGTTATAGTGCCTGGCGACGGACTTCTCATGTCCTCGAAAAATTTTGTTCCTCGGACATGCCTTACAACTCTTAGAAAGGCACACTCTATCTTTGATTACTTGCATCCAGTTGCAACCAGCCGTCTAAACTATATCGTCGCTCCATGTAGCCAGGCGTTCCTCTTTACATTTACACGTTCTAAATACATTATAATATTATATTTATATATATAATATATAATAATATTAATATATAATAAAATAATATTTTGAAAATGGTGCTTCAAAAAATGTTTGTTGATAACTCAAATTGCCTTTGTACCCCTAGTATTACCTACGTTTTTTAAAATCATTTTTTAAACTTATGATTGCTTTGTATAACTATGCCAATGTTCAACCTACGTGAAACTCTCTCAAATAAACACATCCTCGACTGACTAACAGCGATCTAGAGTGAGCCGTTTCGGTAAATATGGCACGGGATATTAAAAATAATTAAATTTTTTTCTAACAGTTTCATAATTATCAGAAATATCGAAGTTACACAATTTAATAATAACATCGTAAAAATAAACACGATACTAAAAATAAAAATCACCAAGTGAATACAGTGATTGTAGCTCGAATCATAAAAATGTACAGCTTTCTATAATATAGAGCTTTCTCACCATTGATTTATATAACACTAGATCAGTAATAACCGCGCCAAAGCGTTGCCACTGCACATATTATGGCCACAGCCATATGCCTACCTAACGTGCGTTCATTGTTCAATGTGACGCCGACAGAATTGAGTCACGACAAAAATGGGTAAACGCGTAGTGAAAGAATGCTATTCAAGGTCACAAAAACGTAATAAATCAAGCGGAATCACTTTCAACACATAATTTTTAGTTCTTGTTTTGATATAAACGTGAAAAACCTCAATTATTATATTGAGGTTTTTTACGTTTAAAATTTTTTTTAAATATAATTTTTTTTTCTTGCGGGTAGTCGCAAAGTAAACACGCAAACTCAGTGTGCTAATTATATTTATTATTGTTAAATTATTTAAAGTATTCGTTCTTTCTAAATAAATGTGTTAAAACACTGCTAAAGTCTACCAACACGTGCTGTTCTTAACAACTTCTATCTTTTTATTGCTAAAGCACAGTTTTGCATAACAGTCTAATATGGACCCACAGCTTGTAAATAATCTTGATGAACTGGAAAAATTATTTACTTCTCGCATGCGTGAGTATGAAGATAAGCTTTTAAAAGCCACAGCTGTTACCTCGCCAGTTCACCCAGACATTTCTTCACTGTCCAAGGACTTCAACGATTTCAAACCCTTTGTTTGTCAATCGCTATCGCTGATCAGAAAACAATTGGACTTAGTTACATACAATATTGACAAACATGAAACAGCAATGAGAAGTTAAATACTGCTTATTCATGGTTTTTCTGAAAGACAGAATGAGAAGTTGCATGAATCGATATATAAGCTGTTTTCCGACCAAATGAAGGTGACCGATTTGAAAGTCGAGGATATACAAGTATGCCATCGTTTTGGAACTTCTCAAGCCTCAACACGTTCAGTGCTTGTTAAATTTGGTAGTCTGTAGAGTCGTCGTCGTCTTGTCTGGGATAATAAAATTTCATAAAAGGTTCAGGTATCACAATATCTGAGTTTTTGACTAAAACAAGGCACAAAATATTTATGACAGCTCGTAAACATTTTGGGATTAAGAACTGCTGGTCCGTTGAAGGCAAAATAGTTCCTTATTATTTTGCCGGAAAAATTACGTCAGAGGATTGAGTCTATGGCAGAACTAAAACCCCTTATTTGCCGATATCCCGACAAGTGTAGTACTGTCAATGACCCTGGGCAGTCTAAGGAACCCATTTCTCCAAAGGAAGTTGCGTCCAGATTGACTACTAATGCTCCACGGAAGGCTCGTCGCCGCAACTAATCCCTAGTTTCGTTGTTTTCTTTCAGAAAATATAGGTACATATCATAATCATTTTTCTGTTAGCCGCTTTACAACCACTTTGTAATACTGTTTTATAATTACTTTATATTTCTGTAATAATGATACATTTTTCCTGCTGGTACTTTCATAATATGATAAGCATTTAGTTACACACAGTAGTTATCAAAATGTCTATTTTATCATTCACATTTGCGTAAGCATCATACTAGTCTGTGATTCACATTGAATTGACGCTCGTGAGTTTTGAGATGACTATAATGCATTTTTTTATTTACTTTTTCTCTTAGTTGTGACACACGGCCCTTTGGCCACTGTGCTACTGTCAAGTTGTAGCTTGGGAAAATGTATTATTTATTCTGGTTTGCAGTAATATGTAATAGTTTTTTTTCAATATTTTTATTAATCTCTTAAGGAAGTTTAATATGTATATAATTATAAGATAGGTTCATATCATAACATTTTAAACTTTTTAAATCGAATCTTATGTATAAATTATACTCTCATAAGATTTTTTTCTTCTTCAGTATTTCATGACAGTTCTGTGATTGGTGATTTTAAAGGTTTTTTTTAAAAAAAATCTGTTCCGTTTGTATTAGATTATACCTAAGTTTTGTTTTATTTTAAATTAAGTAATTGATAAATTGATATTTATATATATATATTATCATATATATTGTATATACATATCATATTTATACTTTTAAACTGTATTATTATATTTACATTTTATATTATATTATTGTTATATTACTATACATTATTTTATTATCTTATTTGCTAAATGGATAATCTTGATGTTTTTAATGACAGTTTCTTCTCATGTTCTTCATCTTCAAGTAGTTTTACAAGTGCGGATAGTGAGTTACCTTTAACTTTGTACGACCAGATTTCATCCCTGCGCTCTAAATTTCCTAAAAACTTCAATGTTGCACACATTAACATCCGGAGTGTTCCTCGCCATTATCCTGATCTTCTAGCATCCATTAACAGTGCACATCTCGATGCTTTACTTATTTCTGAGTCATTTCTCAAGCCATCACTCCCCTTTACACAGTTTGCCTTACATGGTTTTGTCTTCACTCGTAATGATCGTATAGGAAAAGTTTGTGGTGGGATAGCTATTTACCTGCGTTCGGCTATATTTTATAAAACAATATGTGCCTCTCTTTCTATTTACTCGCAAACTGCTGAATATCTCTTTATAGAAGTTACTCTCAATCATGTAAAAATGTTGCTGGCGGTATTTTACAGTCCTAACATGCACATAGATTACTTTGATACGCTTGAAAAAAATCCTCGCTGAAACTCTTCTTGACTTTCCCGTCTGTAATTCCGGTTTTTACTCTCACTCCTTTTCAGTTCACGCGGTAAGATTAACTCACTACCGTCAAATATAAGAAATTCCGAAACTTTGTTGGTATTCAAGAAACGTCTTAGAGATAACTACTTTGCATCCTGTTAATTTATATATATATATATATATATATATATATATATATATATTTATTCTATTATATTAATTTTAGTTTATATATATCATACGTAACTATCGTATTTATTATTATTATTATTTATTGATTTATTTTATTTTTATTTATTGTTTTATTTTTTTAATATATAACAATTTTATTTTATGTAACATTGTGTATATTATTTATTTTTTAGGAGTACTAATGTATGCACTAAGTTTGCAATTTCAATATAATTTCCTTTATGGGTCTACTGGAAGATATTTCAGCTAATTTGGAATAAGTACAACCTTTGTACGAAATTACTATAAGACTGCTTCTGTATCTTAATGTGTGTACATAAAATAAATTAAAAAAAAATAATAAAATTATCGAATATTGCCATTTAGGTTCAATGTTGCCACTTTTCCGCATTTGTGATTATCCTATATTAATGGGAGACTATATAATTAATGGAGTAAGTTAATTTGTTACCTCTGATTTTAAATATTTTGGAAATTATAATAAAAACTACGTTTTAACTTTCTTACAAAATAATTAGTTATTCTTATTTTAGTTTATTCATGAATTATCTATTAATTATTACCTATTTTATATTAATAATTTTATATTGTTTATAATGTCATAAAATTTTATATTAATTATATTTTATTACCTATTTTATATTGTTTGATTTATTAGTACCATAAAAATACGTTTTATTTCATCATTATGTTTACTTCTATTCATCTGATAAGCTTTGTATCCTTTTTTTTCTAAGGGGACGTAATAAAGATTTTAAAATAAAATATACTTTTTTAATATTATTTTATTTCGAAGACCATGTGAGCAAATTACTCGAAGAGGGGAAGGTCAAGAGTACTCGGATACCTAGACGTGCATGTATGAAGAAGATAATGAACCTGAAAGAAGTGAAAGAGCTATGTAAGGATCGTGACATTTGGCGATCTGTTCTCTCTGGCTACCCCGTTAGGGATTGTGCGTGAAGATAAGTAATATAAAAACAATTAACTGCAGCTTAAAAAAACTCATTTTTATTGCGTATTTTAGGTAAAATTTTATATAGTAAGCCACACCAACCCGCCATTGCATGTTTGTGTGTCTATCGTTATCTAATCTTAGCGACGATATTGTTTCCGCAACTTGTGTGAGATAAATATTTTACTTAAAATTGTTATTAGTTTCAAAGCTACGTCGTCGCGTTTGGATAGTGGTTGCACTTTTTTCGACGCGCTGTAATGTGGTTTGCTCCTCTATAGTTCATAAAAGATAGCTTGATCTCTGCGACAGCTGTCAGTAAAATCACGCCTATGAAGTCCTGAATTTCTTAGTAGTACAAACAGTACCTGTCAATGTCATACTTTATGGGCATGC